GGACCGTTAGGCTGCGCCCTCCGGCTCGGGCGCCCCCCTCGGCTCCCGCTCCAGCCCGGCCGCCCGGTGCGCAGGCGGGGAGGCCGCGGGATGGGAGTGCGACGCGCGGAGTGAGGGGCTCCAGCCCGGCATCCCCTTCCGCTCCCCGGGGAAGAAAAGGAACAGGATGGGGAGCGCGGGGAGATAGGAGGAGCGGAGCCCCCGGGGTCGTCGATCGGGCGGTGAAAGGAGGCTGGGGAACCGCCGCTCGCCCTTTGGAGAGTGAAGAGCTAGTGAGACGTGAAATGCTGCGTGGAGACCCGGGCTTCCCTGGCACCGCGCGAAAGGACTTGGGCATGTTGCCGTCCGCCTTCCAAAGTGGCGCTGAGATGAATTTCTTAACCCCTTTGTGCTTTTCGGACCCTGTATTTGGGCGTCCCCACTCTCCCAGAATCATTCAGAAGGGACACTCCCACCTGATACACTGGGTTGTCATTCCCAGCCCACCCTCGCTTCTGGGACAGGGCCCGGAATTCCCCATCAAGAGCCTTGGGCTTCACCAGGAGAGCCATGCCCCAAACTGCACCTTCTACTTCGAATCCATTACTCTGTTCCTTGCCATCCCTTACTTTTTTCCTCATCATCTTCCCTGGAACTCTGTGCACCTGAATTTAGCCCTTCTTATGTGGGCAATACTAGGCCCACCTCAGGAAGCTGCCATTCAAGTGTGCTAAAAACCCACTGCACCCAGACCTTCCCCAAGATCGTCACTCTGTGCTATGTACTTACCCCGACTCAGGCCACCTCAAATACTAAGTCCTCACTTCATTGATAGGCGAAAAAGTTCCTTGGAAACTGTTAAGCATAACAACATATAATGAAACCAGTTTTACTATAGGCTAAAATAAACAAGAGTTAAGTTCCTACAGCATATTCCCGCTAAGCATCCACTTGCAAATAAAGACCCCAAACGCTTGTAATATTAAACATTGAAATACATGTGCGCTACACAGACATTTAAGAAAGATTATGAGGGCGGCACCTGTGGCCCAAAGGAATAGGGCGCCAGCCCCATATACCAGAGGTGGCAGGTTTAAACCCGGCCCCGGCCAGTTACGGAAAAACAAGATAATGATTTACCCATTTTTGGTGAATCAGTGAGTGACAGCAGTTGTGACTTAAATCATCAAGGAGTAAATGTTTGCAAAGTGAAAACGGTCAAAAGTGAAAACGATCAAAGTGAAAACTGTTCAAAAGCACAGTTCAAAAGCAATACGAAATATGCTGGGGCTCACTGAGCACTTTCTTACCACGACACTTATTGTCGTGCATTCGTATAGATCATTGTATACGTCACACATTTTTATTTTACAATTCTATGTTTCATTCATTTTCCAACCCACTAAGCCCTCTATAGGGTCCTGGATGGCTAGAACGTATCTGAGTAGTTTAGGGTACAAGGCAGGACCCAACCCAGGCCAGGTTCCATCCCATCTCAGGGTGTGCAAGCCCACGCGTGCACACACATGTATACACACTCATTCACACTGGGACAATGTAGACACACCTGTGAACTGAATGTGCACATTTATGGGACAAGAGAGGAAATGGAATACCCAGAGAAAACCCAAGCAGAGGTGGAGAGAATGTGTAAACTTCACACAGGTAGGGGCCCTGGCAGAATTTTTTCTTTTCTCATCAATGTTTTAACAAAACGACATTGAACAAAATGACCTGCTGTAAGTTGTCTGGTCACTATTACTCCATTCAAATACAGTGGATACCTACGGTGCCCTTGGTAGTCTGTTCAGTTCTAACAGGGGTGGGGAGACCCAGGATGACAGACACTTATCTCTTAATGAGCTTGAGTCTTATTGCAGTAGGGGAAGGTCATGTGGTCACCTCTTGTTCTACCTTTAACTGTTGGTTAAGTGTAAAGGCCGCCCCAAAATCCTCTTGTAGTTCTTTCCTGCTTACTTCTTACTATATCCAAAATGATGTCTGCTTCCCCCTGTATCAAACATACCACTCTTAGTGGGAGGGGGGCTAAATTTGTAGTAAGAAGACAGGGGCCTGAGCTCCAGCTCTCCCACTCACCTGAGCAAATCGCTGGACCTCTCCAAGCTTCAGGCTTTTTGTGTTAACAATAGGTATCACCAAGGGCTGGGTGGCATGGCTGGTAATCCCAGCACTTAGGAGGCCAAGGTGGGTGGATTGCTTGAGCTCACAGGTTCAAGCCCAGCCTGAGCAAGAACAAGACCCAGTCTCTAAAAAAGAGCCTGGCATTGTAGCAGGCACCTGTAGTCCCAGCCACTTGGGAGGCTGAGGCAAGAGAATTGCTTAAGTCCAAGAATTTGAGGTTGCTGTGAGCTGTGATGCCATAGCTCTCTACCGAGGGGGACAAACTGAAACTCTGTCTCAAAAATAAATAAATAAATAAATAGGTATCACCAGCTACAAATGTCACTTTACAGACTGTTCCAGACCTGGTAATGTAACCCTGCCCAAACTCTTTTATAGGATGTTTGTTAGAATCAAAATCAACAGTAGATAATGGCCACGAAAGCACTTTGTAAAGCTTGTGACACAAGATAAAATGCAGAGCCCTGGCAGATAGCCCATAGTCTGTCTCTCCTGACCTCAGAGGAGGGCCTGGTCGAACAGCTGCACATCATTTATCCACAGGCATGCAGAAGAAAGCATCTAAGACCAAGTTCAACATCTTTGCCCATCTCATAAGTTTTAGCTTCATTGCTTATATTCTGTTGGAAACGGCATTCACATCTTTCAGTTACCCTGGCTAGAAGTTCATTTATTTAACAAATTCTCATTGACCCAGGCTTGAAAGCTTAGCGTTACCATCGATTGGTGCTTTTCATCAGCACTCCGCATAAACCCCTTTACCAGATTCTGCCCTTGAATACAATTATGCTCAGTTATTATCTCTTCCCTGGTGCTTTCCTCATCCTCTTCGTGGAAATTAATCCTTCCACCGCAGCGCTTCCATAGCACTTTATCTGCTCCATAATAGCCATATTGTGCTTAATTGTATATTAATAATGCAAGACAATGGGCTTGCTGCGAATGCTAAAAAACTGAATTTAGTGATGAGAAAGTGCTGAATGAGCCTAGAGAGAGAAAGGAGATGGACACCTGTGGTCATGGTCAGGTGACGGTTCACACAGGAGAGCAGCAAGCTATGGATGGGTACGGAGGCCAAAGTCAGCCTGTGAGGGGCAGACAGGGACATGGTGTGGTGTTTTCAGGTAGGAATGAGGTGACACAGCTTCTAAGGGGCAGAAGTTTTGGTGGTTTAACATGCTTTGAATGGCAGCTAACAAAATGCCATTCACAAATGCACTGTGGGTTTTTTTTGTTTGTTTGTTTTAGCCGGGGCTGGGCTTGAACCGGCCACCCCCAGCATAGGCGGCTGGCGCCCTACTCCTTGAGCCACAGGCGCCGCCCCAGCACAAATACATTATTAAATGATTTTGCCAATAACCTTTCACGTTAGCTTTGGGCTCTTTTGAGGGTGTAATAGGTGTTTAGGAGAACTAGAGCCACAGAAATGACCTCAGAAAGCATGTCATCTAGTTCTCAAAAGGCACACATTAGATAGAATACTGAGATCTAGAGAAACCTAAGTAATTTCCTGATTTATTGGGAGACGGGAAAATCTCTGAAGGTAAGGTCCATGCTCTACTCACTTCTAGAGCCTCCAGATAAACCTAGCACACCCCCTTTACCTGTGATAAAGTCGTGATGAATAAATGAAAAGGACATCTTTATCTCGCACAACAAAGTTACACGTAAAATTTGCACAGCCGAGAAATATTGGTGCACATCTTCCATTCAGAAGTACTTTGTTGGGAAATTAGGCCAGGTCAAACATAATATTTAAACTTGGACACTACTGTACGTGGATTTAGCAACCTAGTGACTTGATTACGGTTTTCCTCAGGAGTCTATGCAACTGTGAAACAATGTGTACGTCCCACTTGTTCTTAGTCCAGCACTTGGTTCAGGCTGATTATGTTGTTGAGGGTCGAAGAACCCAAACCACTGCCAGTCTTCACCAAAGGTCTTCAAGGGAGGCCTGGCTAGAGAAGGAAGATCAACGGAGTGTGACCTTGAAAGGGGTCATGGTTGTGTCAGTCAAGGAGAATGCCACAGCCTCTGTCACTGCCCCTGACAGCCACACCTCTTTGTGTTTGGCCTGTTGGGAGGTGGGTCATCCAGATGCCAAGGCCATGACAGCTGCAAGAAATGCTCCAGCAGCCAAGTTTCCTGAGAAGAAAGAAGGAAATGCCAGGACGATTGAACGTTCTCCAGCCCTGACTTGTTCGTGCTTCTTGCTGCTGCTACTTCGTTTTGCTTTTACCTTAATCAACTTTATTTACTGGCATAAAACCCTATGGTGAAAGTGTTGTGTTGACTAAAGTATACAATAGCAGAAGTGGAGGCTGAAATAGGATATATACTCAGATTGGTTATTACATTTCCCTTGTCATAAAAAAAATACTTATCCATTAGAATAATTCTAATTTGAATTTTTCCTCGAGGAGAAGAAATTGGTAGCTTCTTTGACTTAATACTATTTGGGAGCTTTTGTGCTTTTTTATTTTTTTTATTTTAAGACAAAGTCTCAAGCTGTTGCCCTGGGTAGAGTGCTGTGGCATCATAGCTCACAGCAACCTCAAACTCTTGGGCTCGAGTGATCCTTTTGCCTCAGTTTTTCTATTTTTAGTAGAGACAGGGGTCTCGCTTTTGCTCAGACTGGTCTCGAACTCATAAGCTCAAGCAGTCTACCCACCTCAG